GTTTCTCTCTGAGGCAGAGCCCAAGAAGGTCTGAGCTGTGGGGGCAATGAGGACAACAGCTGCAAACTGTTTACACGCGACAGTTTATACCAGAGTTTATACAGTTGCGTGTTGTTTACTTCTGAAATCGAGAAAGAAACCCACGGTCAACCCTAAGTGTAAGGATTACGTGTTTACACCGTGCAGTTTTCTACTGAAAATAATTAAACCTCCTCACCCAATTTCCGCTCTCAAATTGTGCTCCTTCCAAGAAAAAAGCAAAGAAAGGAGAGGGTGTCTACCCCGAGGTGACATGGCTGGGAAGACAGGTCAGGAGGCTCTGGTGGATGTGACCTGCTTTTCTGCATGAATTAAATGTATTTCTCCAGGTGTCAGAAAAACTCTTTCCAGCCTTTTATTTCTACCCTGAGCATTTCAGAGGTTTAAAATGTGTTTTGCTTCCCTCATCCGTGCCAGTGGTGCAGTAGAGATGGAGTTAGGATAGAAGCACACAGTCAGTTGTGTCGGCCATGAACTTCCTTCATATCAATATCAAAACCTGGAGGGCTTTCTTTTTGGATTCCGACCTCTGCGTCTGCTGTATGTCACCTTGGGTCAATGAAATATATCCCATAACTTTAATTTCCATAGCAAGTACATATTCATTGTATTAGGTTTAAGCCCAAATAAGAAAGAAGGAAAAGAAGAACATTAAAAAGATCTATAATGACATCACCATGTCTTAGAGGTAATTGCGGTTCAGACTATTACATCTATCCCTCGGGTCTTTTTATCTTTAGGATTAAAAAACATTTGGACTGAAACACGTGAAATTTTGACGCTATCCCACCCACATTTCTGTATAAGCGCACACTGAGATTTGTGAAAATCTTTTAAGTCCTCAAAGACTATTCATCGTTGTTGGTTATCCAAGCTTTGGTGAGGGAGGTCCCAGGGTTTGCCTGGAGGAGTGTGAGTGTTAGAGAAAGAGATCCCTGCGTTTGCATCTGAGTCTGGTTACTGGGCCTCCATTTTGCTGTCTGTAAAATGGGGCCAGCGATGCCCGCCAACTAGGGGAGGGTCAGGCATGCGAGTGGTGCTCGCCCATGGAAAGGACCCTAATAAATCCACTCGCCTTCCTGCTTCCCTTTCATTCCATGGAGCTCTGCAAGCAGGTGGGGTTGATGTTTCCAAAATTTCAAAAATAAATGATTTCTCCTGTGGAGAATTTTAAATCATGGAAGGCAGAAACTATGGAAAGCCCCATTCTTGGGTCTAAGAAATCCTTCCTGTGCAGGATGTGCTGGTGACCTAGGAAGGTCCCCCTGGTTTCTTAGCTTTAGCACTGATGTTCAGAGAACTCATGTTCACAGACTGCACTTTTTTTTTTTAAGGTTTTACTGGGGAATTGGAGAAGGGGAACAGCGCTGGGGAATCAGGGAAGGGGAACAGACAAGTCACTGTCCTTTTGTTCTTCAGTCTAGTTGTGGAGAAGGTCGCTTCACTGGCCCATGTTGGTATGATCATTGCGCTCCTCCGGGTGAGGTAGTTGCTTGCCGACCATTGGACAGCCGCTCACGGCGGCTCTTGGCAGCTCACTGCAGCTCCACTGCAGCCTACGCCGTCGCCGGTGACTCACGGCCGCCCAGTTCCAGGTCAAGCTCTTGTTCACCATCTTAGCTGTAGAGGGCGCAGCGTCACTGGCCCTCATGTGGGATCCAAACCGGGGCCCTGCTGCTTTGAGCTGGCGTCCCAAGCCAACTCTTAACCAATGAGCCACTAGGCCAGCCCCAAACAATGGAGAGAAAAACTGGGTTTTCTTCATTTCTTGACAAGCGCTGATGTGGGGAACAGGCAGGTGTTTCTAGGTTGGTGCCTTTGCAGCCAGAGGTGATGGGGTCTCTCCCAGCCCCCCCCACACACACACACCGTCCTTTGCAGACCGCTGTTTATTTCCAGGAAATGTGGAATAGTGCTGGCCTTTGTTCCCTTCGAAGCTCACCGCTTAATGACCATTTATTCCCTGCAGCTCTTACTTTTACAACAACCTGGGATTCTCTCCAGGCTTTGTTTTGTGAGTTCTAAGCATTTCCACACCGTTGCTTATAAATGCATGCGGCCCCAAGTGCTGAGTGTCAGGGGCTCTTTTTTTTTCTTCTTTTTCTTACTTTTCCTTGATCAGTTTTATAACCAGTTGGTTCACAACCGGAATGCATCGTTAAAAAAGCCCTAGACCTTAATCCACCTTTGTGTGAGAGCATTTTTTTTTGGGTAAACAAACGGATCCGTTGTTTCTCGTATAAAATATCATCTGTGCCTTGGAAAAATTAAAATGTCATTATTGGAAGGCTCTTTGCTTGGCTGTTTCCCTAGCATTGCGTGTTAACTAATTAGAGTGGACACTGGGGACGGCCTGCTCCGGGCTCTGAGTGTGGCTGGGGCCGGGGACATGTTTGTGTGGCATTTCAAAGTCTGCTGGGTCAGCAGACACTCTAGGGACAGACAGCAAGCTCAGCACAGCTGGCTTTAGATGTCTCGTAACCCCCCTCCAGACGGCTTCTCCCGGGCGTGCACGGATTGTTCCTGATTGATTTATTGAATCAGGAGGCCCTGCTTGGGCTGGGAGGGTGCTGCTGGGTGTGCGTTTGAGTGTGTGTATGTGTGTGTGTACACGTGTGAACGTACGTGTGTGTGCATGTACGTGTGTGTGCACATACGTTTGTGTGCATGTGCTGCACACACATTTCCAGCAGTGCTGGTGGGAGCATTCCACCGACTCACAGAGCATGTGCAGCAACCCACAGAGCGTTTTTAAACAAAACCAGAAAGATGACCTTGAAGGCACCGAGGAGCCGGATCACATCCCTTCTGGTTGTCATGTTTCTCCTTCCAGTCGTCTACATGGTTGGATTATGACGTCCACGTGCAAAAAAAATGCGTCTTGAGGCTAAATCCCTTTTTTTTTTCCTCATTTCTTTTTTCTTTCTCTCCTAAGAAAAATTCTTCAGCCTTGGCCAAGCATGTTGCATATTTCTAAATGGAAATATATGTGGTGCAGTGCCCAGCTCGGTGTGCCCCAGGAGAGCCGAGCTCCCTAGCCCCGTCTGTCCACGCTTCTCAGAAGGGTCAGGTCGGACGAGGTGCCCTGTGTGTGGCCGAGGCCATGCCAGCTGGAATTTGATGTCAACAGAGAGGATGTGGGCTTAGCCCTTTGGGAGGAGAGAGGGAGGTTCTCTTTTTCTTAATTAATTCCCCTGTCCTGTTCTCTGTTGCCCTCTGCCAGCTCCTTCCCTCTGCAACTCCTGTGCCTGCGGGGTCACCTTCAGGTCTTCACACACCTGTGCACGTTAGCAAAGGGGTCCTCTGGACAGGGCGGCGTGCAGCTTGATGCTGGAACGGGCACCCCTCAGGCAGTGGCCACAGCTCCCCCAGGCCACATGGCTGTCCCCGCGGACAGTGCATCCTGGAGAGCCGCAGGGCAGCACACAGCCAGCAGAGCCACTGCCTGCTGCATACCCCTTGTGACCTCACAGCAACAGGGCACTGAGCCTCCTCAGCTGTGTGACCCGCCAGCCACCCCATGCCACCACCCGCTCATTCATCTCACAGGCCATATTGAGGTGTCAGATGCAACCCACAATGGGGGTTCAGATGTTTCCAGTCCTCCTTGAGTACTGTCCAAAGCCTTGGCGTGGGGCTAGGGGGTCCATAGACTCCCACTTTTGCAGAGATAAGTCCTTGGGGGTCCCTGAGTGGTGAGGGATGTCTGTCCTAGGTACAGTGATAACCGAAGCTAAGAGGAAGCGTGGACAGCAGCCATGGGGTCGTGTCAGCCCTAGAGTGCCAGCTGCAGACGTGGCCAGTGCACAGCACACTGCCTGGCATCCCTCAGACATGCCCTGTCCATCCAGAGCCCCTGTTGTTGATACACATCCCTCTGCCAGACGAGCCTTTCTCCCCTTGTATGCGCCCACATATCCTCCAGAGGCTGGCAGCCATCCGCCTGTTGTCCTCAGCCCTGACTCACACCATCCCCTGCGTCTGCATTCCCCCTGCTTGCGTGGGCTCAGTTTTCCTGTGTCAGGGAAGGTCCCTGGGCAAGTGTGTGCAGAGACGAGTAAGCTGCTCTGTGGGACTCATCCTCGCTGATGACTTCACTCGTCAGCGTTTGCTCCCTCCTTCCGCGTCCCAGTTTCCTTCTGTCTCTCCTGAATGTTTTTGGAACATTTTGCACAGCCTTTCCTGGCCTGTGCTCCAGCAGCCCCAGCCTGGATCCAGGCGTACGCCCCGAGAGCACTGACCCTAACAGGGCCAGGACTGGGATGAGGGGAAGGAGGTGCCCAGGGTACACAATTTGAGGATGTGCTCTCTCCCTGTCAGGGATACCTCAGTGCGGGGTCAGCTCTGAGAGGGAGACCCTCCTTAAACTTTGCACACTGGCTGCCTTGCCTACCGAGCCTCACCTGGTCCCAGCCCTGAAGGCTGATGTTGGGCAGAATCCCAGCACTGGGTGCCAATCCCGGTGACTTTGGGCAAGTGACCTTTGCTCTCTGAACCTCAGTTTCCATCTGTTACCGCCACCCTGGGTAATCAGGACTAAAACAGATAATAGGTGTAAACTGCTCAGCATATTTCCTGATGAATAGTAAATGCTTGATAGATGTCTATGGTGGTTCTGATTATTATTAGGCAAATACGAAAGCATCATAGGCAAGCCCATCCCTCTATGAGCTCTGGAATGACAGGTCTAGCCCCATGCTCATCATCATCCCAGTTTGCCCCTCTCTTGACCTTGTGTGATGCCGACTGTGTGATGTTGACCTTGCATGATGCTGACTCGGTGATATTGACCTTGCGTGATGCTGACTGTGTGTGATGTTGACCTTGCATGATGTTGGCTGTGTGATGTTGACCTTGCGTGATATTGGCTGTGCTTGCGTGATGTTGACTGTGTGGACCTTCCCGGCGAGGTCAGGGCCTCCCATGTTCTGAAGAGGATGTGTTTTGTGTCTCTGCTGCAGGAATTGCTTACTTAGGAGGTGTGTGCAGTGCTAAGAGGAAATGTGTACTTGCCGAAGACAATGGTCTCAATTTGGCCTTTACCATCGCTCATGAGCTGGGCCACAAGTAAGTATAAGCCCCTGTATTGTTCTGCCTGTTTCGATTCCTTCCTGGATACGTATTTCTGTGCTTGAATTCTCTAACACGGTGCTGCTCTATGCCTCTGCTTCTTCCAACAGTAGGGACCTCGACCAGCAAGCTGGGGTCCCAGCCCTTCGGGGAACCTGAGAGATTACCAGACAGAAAGGCTCTGAGAATTAAAATGTTAACTTGGTGTTCATTTTTGTTCTTATAGCACGATTGTAATGGGAAGAGGTTTTTCTCAGAGTGTCTTCTTGTCGTTGCATTTTTCTTTCCTGGATCAGCATGATTTTTTGATTCCCTCCAAATATATTATTCACACAATGGAAGGTTTATCATCATACCGTTGACTTCCTATTTTGTTTTCAGCCTGTTTCAAACAAAGTCCAGTGTCTTCGTTTTAAAGAATTAACAGGTACTGCCTTTGCCCATGGAAATTCTCCCCTTGAGGAGGAAATAGCCACCGACCCTTTGAGCCTAAAAGGTGTGGTAGGGAGAGTCTGAGGCAGCCTTATGGTTTTCAGAGGAGGAAACAGAAGGCCAGAGGGTTGAGCGGCTGGCCCGAGGCTGAGGTCACTAGCAGGAAGTCTCCGGTGGCAGAAAGCCAGTGGACTCTAAACGGCAGCCCAAGGGTGTGCTCTTTCTCCTGGAGAAGGTGTCTGTTTTCTGTTTCTCTGAAGGAAAAATTGAGATATGACTGCTTAAGGACTTAAAAAATAAATAAATCAAGGAAGCCAGAGTATGAAAAACAATGGGGAAATTTAGATTGGCTTGAACAGAACAAAATTAAATGGAACTCTAGTTCTTGGTTAAAATGTATGTATGTATAGTAAAGGTTTTCTAATGACCTGTGTAGTAAGACACACCCAGAACGTTAATGGTGTACATTCAAGCTTCTATAAGAGTAAAACCAATGCATAAAGAGAGCAAACACAATTATTTGCCTCTAGTATTAGCCATATCTATGGCTGGGTTTTTGTTTGTTTGTTTGTTTGTTTGTTTGTTTGTTTATTTGTTTGTTTTGCCTAGTTATGGTTATCTGGTCCCATTTTAATTTTTTTCACTCCTGTAGGTAGTTTGGTAATTGACCTCTCTGTAGCTGTTGGTTGTCATGATGTGAGTACAGCGAGTGGAAGTGACCTTACGCGTATTTACTGGGATTAAGGAGGAATTTTGTTTCCAAAATACACAGTTATTTCATCTCGGCAGTAGTTTTAAAATATTGGTGACAACTCTTTGTCCATGCCGTTTGGCCTATCCTACTAGAAAATCATTTTGAAAACTAATTGTAATCAAAGTTGTGCTCATATTTCTGATTTGTTTAAAAAAAACAAACAAACACAAAACAACGAAAAACAAACCAAACCAAAACACCCTGTATCCAGGAGTGGTTGCTGAAAGAAAAGCATAACTCGGTATGGCTTTGGCAAACGTCTTCTCACTATCACGTGACCCACCCAGCGCGTCATAGTTCCCTGGAATCAACTATTATGGCTGGAGAACGCAAAGTTATCAAAACATTTCCCAGCATGCAGCTTGTTGTGGACCTTTGAGTAGATATAGGAATTGCATTATCCCCTGGCAGCCCACACTGGGCACATGCCTGAGCGTACTTTGCACACGTGCTGCACAGAGGCCTTTTCTCCTTGACGACCTGTGCCATTGTGCTGGGTAAACACTGGTGTCTTAGCCCAGGAGGTCTGCAAAGATGAATGGTTAGATTCAGTAGTAGCCTTTAGCTACAGTCTGTGTAGAATTTCTTGGAGGATTCGCTATAGCTTGCTATTGAACTCTAATTACCTACAAAAACAAACACCTTATTGTTAATCAAAACCAATAAATCCGGCTAGCAGTGGGACCTGCCCCTCCGTGGGTGAATATAATTTTCCCTGGAAAGTCCGTTGTCTCTGATTATTCGCCAGCATCGGGAAGTGTATCTCCCAAAGCGGAAGCCACATTCACTCCATCCTCGGACCCCTCTGGCCAGCTGGGCTCAGCAGCGAGGGAGGCTGTGGGGAGGCTTGAAAAGGGCCAGGCCAACGTGCATTCTTAGTGAAGCCACTGGCCAGGCTGCTTCACAGATACAATATTTGGAAGCTGTTTCATATTTTGGAATGGAGGGGAGCAGTTTAATCCACGCTCCTAAAGTACGTGTGAACTAAGATAGGATGGGGTGGTATTCTCAGTTGACCTGAGTCAGCCACCAGTCCATGCCCTCCAAGAAAATTTCTTGGTGAAAGTTTTAGAAAATGAAAAAGGGTACCCCTCTGCATCAACCCTAGGAAGTCCCCAGGCTCCCTGACCATTTAATACTGATAAAGTGAGACATCTCTTCTGAAGGATGGGTGTCCATGCCTTTCTTTGCATGTGGGCACACATAGGTGCCGCCCTTCTGGTACCCAGCATTCTTCGTGTGCGTGCGAGCAGTTACCCTTAGATCCAAATGTCAGGAGAAACATTCCATTTCCATGGTAAGCCACACGTTCCATTGGTCAGAGTCAGACGAGAGCTGTGTAAATTATCATTATTTTCTTTCTGCTTTGGCTGTCAGAAAACATCAAGCTAAGTTGTGGGTTCATTTTCAGCAGTGAACGTCTCTGAGTCCTGGAATTGTATTTTTCAATCTCTTTCTAGTGTCTCTTTGGATGCATGGTAATACTTTCAATATGGTAGTTCAAAAATAATGTATTTGGTACTGTAAGCAAGCTCCAATCCAGTTTGCAATCAGATCGGTTCTAAATTATAAATTAAATGAAAAGTTTTTGCCATGGTAAGGTCAATAATACTTCTTAGGACATAAATTAATAATGTACTAATCTGTTTAAGTCAAATCAGATCTCACATTTATTGAGCGCCTATTGTGTTAGATGTCGTGCATTCATTGTGCTATTGAATCAGTCCTGTGAGGCAGATATTATTTAGCTTTTACTTTATAGATTAGGAAACTAGTATTACTTTAAAAAAAATCTACTCTTTATCTAAAATGACTTGGGCTCACTTATATGACAATATACTCATGCAACAGACCCATTAAAATAATGATCCAAATTACAAATCTAGGTAACAAAGAAGAGAGCTTGTAATAGATCCAGAAAACCAAGGGACCTTCCGTTTGTTGCCAGCTAAGGCTGAGAGGATGCTGACTGACATGGCACCGCTGCTGCAAATGTGTCATCAAAAGGGGTTTCTGTAGGCAACTCGAGGACTGTAGATGAGATTGATTGACAGCCTTCTGACGTGCACCCTGATAAAGAAGCAGTGCTGGTGGGGGTGGGGGTGAGAACCCAAGAAGGGGCTACGCTGTGTTTCTGCCTGGAGGAAGAGTCAGCTCTGAGCAGCAGTCATGCTGATAGTCTTTGAGGTTTTCTTTATTTTTTTAAACTTTATTGGGGAACAGTGTGTTTTTCCCAGGACCCATCAGCTCCAAGTCAAGTTGTTGCCCTTCGATCTTAGTTGTGGAGGGTGCAAGCTCAGCTCCAAGTCCAGTTGCCGTTTCCAATCTTGTTGCAGGGGGCATAGCCCACCCATCGCATGCGGGAGTCGAACCGGCAACCTTGTTGTTAAGAGCACGTGCTCTAACCAGCTGAGCCACCCATCTGCCCCTCTTTGAGGTTTTCTGATGAGCATCTATGACCTTGAGTGCCTTCTTGCCCATGAATCTGCCTGGTCAATAGCTACATGTTACCTTTGATTTGCCTCATTGGTAGAAATGTGGTGATGTGTGTTTGGGAAGGCAGCTGTCTCTGTGTTGTCATAATAGCTTTAGAATCCCAACTGAAAACGAGGGTGTGTTAGCCTGCGGCCTTGTGTGCCTTTCTTCATCCTCAGTGACCATGAGAAAGGGAGATCTCCTGAGCATAAGAAGATGGCTGCAATGGACTGCTTTCCTCGGGCTGTGGTTGCCAACTGCTATTGGTCAGGACCGAATCCCTGAGGGCTGGGGGGTGTTCCTTGAGAGAGGAAGTCCAGCTGGGCCAATGCTGCCCAGTTTTTTCTCTCAAGAAACCAGGACAGGGTGCCTTGTGGTGGACCTCAGTGTCCAAGGTGTTTATAATATTTGGTTTTAAAGAGAAGGAGGGACAGCTAAAAGCAAGCATTTGTTTCTCTCAGGTAAGCTCTTGCTTTTGAGGCTCAACTGATTGGTCATGAGAAGGACTCTTCCCCGATGAGGGTTAGAAGCTCAGGGTCCACGCCGACTATCCCTGAGAAAAGGCAAAAAACAAACCAAGTGACGTCCTCACCGATCAGGAAGTGGGGTGGCAGTGATTTTGGTAAAATATTAAAATGATGGTGTAATACATCTACTGGAACTTTAGAATATGTTTTTTGCTATGATTTGGAAGTTTTACTGTAAAAGAGAAAGTAAATGGTTTTATGGCAGCTGGTTAGACTGCCTTTCATTTGGGAGAGAAGTAGATTAGATCACATAAGGCCAGGGGAGTCACTTGACTGACAGGCACCCCCCTACCTGGTGCAGTTGGAGTCCAGGAGGGCACAGAACTGACCTTCTACTGGACGTTTGGGGCTCAGGGGAGCTCAGCGCACAGCATGCTTCTCCACCAGGTCAGAGAGAGCACCTGGTAAATGGTGAAATGCAGGGCTTTCCAGGTGGGTGATGAGAGAGGGGAGAAAATCCAGTTAGTGCACACTTGGCCACCCACAAAGAAAAAGGGAGGCCTATCTTTATATGTAGAAACAAAGAGCTTCTCCTGGCAGGAAATAAACCTCCGCTCCTGTTGGATTTAGGAGGATCTATCTGATAAGCCTGAGCCAGATCAGGGCCTGCCTTCAGAGACAGTCTAAACCATGTGACCTCTCTGACCCCAGTAAACCTCTGAAAGCCCCCCCAGATGGGCCCGAAAGCCATGCCCGGTATCTGGGCTCTCGCCACCTGTCCTCGAGTGCATGTTCTCCGCACCTGCTCTCTCTGGGTTTTTTTCTGACTTCCATATGTCCTTTTTTGGGTCTTTCCATTCTGGAATCTA